ACCACCAACACGACTGAATACCGGATTTGAAGCCGAATTCCGCAGGCTTGTTCGAGCTGCGTAGTTTGCACATCTTGCAGTGGCACGGGCATCATCGCATCGGAATGCTTGCTAGCCACAAAACGGAACATCAGGCTCTCAGACTCGGGTTGGTATACCCCGCTGACCTCCCACCGTCGGAAGATCTTGCAGGGTCTGTTGCGCATCTTCGATGTCTAACCTGACGGATGCCGAGCAGTGCAGAAGCTGCAAGGGTAGGGTACTTAGGCCTAGTCTCGCACAGCTTGGCCACAGAGATGCCACAAAACTCTCCACCCTTTCCGTTATACCCTCTACCATCTCAGCCCGGTGAAGCCTGCCCAAGACCCTAAGATTCTAGAGACATCTCGCAGTTGAATCGATGCTCGATCTGCGCAACGAGTTTGCAGAAGGCTGAGGCTGACACACTATGACCGGCTGACGCTGGCCTTGGGTGGAGCATCCAATGAAATATCGGCCAATCCGGTTAATGAAAGACAGCTGGCTGCAATTTGGAGTGTAGTGTCCTTGCGGATGCACCATCAGAACAAATCTATTTACGTATATGCATACATGCGTGTGTATGGGTGTGTGCGTGTATGATATGGTCTATGCATGTAAAATGTGTATGTACACATATGTATGTATGTATGTATGTATGTATGTATGTATGTATGTATGTATGTATGTATGTATATGCATGTGCTGATGAGTGTGTGGACCTTTGTTGTGCTATCTGTTCACTAAATAAGTATAGGTCTAAGTATGTATGTATGAACCAATGCATGTGTCCATGTACGTACATAGGCAGGCACGCAACCTAGGCAGCTCGGATTAGATAAGTATGTGTATGTTTCCGTCTCTGTGTGTGCAGGTGTGCGTGTGCGCATGGCATCCCACATTGTCTCTCGTTTTGGTGCCGTCTACACGAAATCACTTGTGCATCTCGTGGAGGACCATAGGCGGAGCATCTAGCAGCCATAGAAAGTCAAGTCAAAAACAGTTCAGTCTACGCCCACGTGCCCTAATTATGTGGCACGATGTTGCTGGACAAGTGAATCCGAAACTCTGAGGATTGTTCTGGCTGAGGCAGACCAAGCTGACCAAGCCCTAGTTTATGTGCAATCACTGTGTTGGCTGGCCTGGCAGCTGGCAGTACACGTGCAGCTGCTTTGGCCAGCGAACGTTCGTTCACTCTGCAGGTTCGAGGCATCTGAAACGTCTGGGGCCCGCACGCGAGTTGAGATCTATCAGACCTGGTTTGGTTTGTGCAAACTGACTGATCTGAAAAACGAGATTTGGGCAGCCAGCACTATGTGCATGCGAACAAGTATGTCTTGCATGAAAATGGACAGACCGGAAACACGCTGAGACGCACACTAGTCTGGGCAAACAGCAGACATGTCTCTCAGGACATTCACAAAAAAGCAAAGGGGCAAAATGTGTCCAACATCTATGCACAGCAGTGGTCAATAGCAGTCACATGTTCGAGAGGATTCAAAAGCAGCCTATGAATCTACCTTCCAATATTACAGTTGCCGTTCGCGGACCGTCAGCAGCCTCCTTTTCCAAATTATACCATTTGCCATTAGTCCCCGAATTCGAAGATACGGATAATCGGAGGAAGCATGGAACGGTTGCGCGGCCTGGACTGCCGCTCACCTGACGAAAGAGCATGAAATATCTTCTGGTCATCCAATCTCCAAGGTTCTCAACAAACTCTGATTTCTCCACGCTTCCAATGCTGCGCTGACGTTGCTGATCTTAAGTAGCTGGATGCTGGACAAGCTTTTCTGATGCCATGCTTCCCTCCCTGTGAGAGGCATACGACAGAGTCACTTCGAAGCAGTCCTTCGGTCAACGTCAAGTCCATCGCTTCGGCAGTTCGTACACTCAGACCCGAAAGCCACGTGGCTGACACTGATGTGATCCAGACGAGAGGACCTTCTGCAGTGATACTCCGCAGTTTTGCGTCTTTCGCGTACCTCATAGCCCCTGCTATCACTTGGACTTCTGTTTTGGCTTGCTCATTCACCGAGCCTATGATCAGGCAGACTAGGCGTCGGAGCCATCAAACTTCAGGACGCAAAACGGCCCTCTAGACTCTATTCAGGTTGGCTCAATCCTACACTTTCGTATATCTTCATCGAGTGGTCACAAGACACGACTCGGCACGGATCCGAGACCAGTCGTGCTTGTGGCTTTCCCATTTCTTGCGCCTTTGCTGGCTCCAAGAACTGTGGCTAGCGGCTAGCTTGCACGAATCTGAGCTGACGGTCCCACTTTCAAACTCAACACAGAGGGTTTTGTTGTACTTTGCAGATGCATGTCGGCATGTTGAACGACCAACGTCCCGAAATGCTTACAGCCCCCTGCATACTAGTTCAACTCGTGGGCAAAGTATCCAAAACCTTGGTCACCAAGCACTGCCCGCCCAACGAATCATGATTGCAAACAACCAAGGCTCCAAACCTGGCATGCCTTGCGCCCAAAGTAAACCCAGAAAGGCCAAGCACGAGTCCCATGGCTAATTTGGTGTCAATCCAATTTGCCTTGACAAGGCCATCCGGGTTCTCCCTTGCCGCTGCCACCGCCCTGGGCAGGGGTTGGCACATCCCCAAAGCAATCCGAAGCACGACTTCAGGCCGGCGAAATAGCGGGAACGCTGCCTTTCCTGGTGTGCCCCTCCCGTTTTAAGGATCACTGTGCCCCAAGACCCCGATGTGGAGTGCTGTGAGCTCATGCGCACTGTCCTAAAGCCTGGAAGCATTACGAGCGCAACCCGAAGGAATCGGAGCAAGGAAAGAAACGGCGGCGTTGTTACCGGACGTGCTGCCTATGCTGCAGGTGTTTGGTTGCTTCTGACTACCGAGCTTGCAACCCCAACCGGATGTAACCGGGTTGCCAACTTGCCACCTTATATCGCTACTGATTCCGTCATGTCTGCGCGCACTCTTGCAGTCTTCATTCATGGATGGACAGATGGATAGACAGATAGATAGATAGATAGATAGATAGATAGATAAACAGAGAATTCGATCGACCAATCGATAGATCGACAGACCAACAAATCGAACCAAAGAAGAAAGATAGATAGATGATCAGATGGATCAATCGCATCGATGGATGAACACACAGATCGATCAATCGACAGATCCCGCGATCGACAGTTCGAAAGATCGATCGATCGACTGTCAGACGTCAGGATGTAGCGCTGTGTGTCGCAGACCCAAGCTAGCTCTGACATGACATGCAAAGAGCTTCTGCACAGGCAAGCGAAGCCCTGTCGTTTCATATATGCGCTTAGCAGCCTGGCCAGTATGTCATGGTGTTGTATGTGTACCTGTCCTCTGGTCCGAAGCCATCATGTCGAATGAATCATCTTTGTCGTCGTTTACTGAATCAGCATGTGGAAGCAGTGCTTATGGCTTCTGGCTTTATGTGCATATCCAACTGCTAGTTATAGTTGTGTTGTCAAGAAAACACGGAGCTGACTCGGCGCTTGAGCTGCCGGCGAGATGATCTCGGTGGGGAACTCTTCCAGGTCTGCCAAGGTGTCCACCATCCTGCAGCCCCGAAGGCCGAAGGGGGCTCGAGTCGGGGAGATGACGAGTCCCAAAGCTGCAAAGTTCTGCGCCAATCGTAGTTTGCATATGGCACAGTCTCAACAGCCCGCTTTCACTTGGCAGCTCAATCCATCCAGCTCAGGCCGCCGCACTCGCCTGGCCTCGAAAAGTTCCAGGACTTGGGGGTTTCGAATCTTCCCCTACTACAGGAACTCGAACTCCTCCCTTCCAGCTCGCCAATGCTACGATCTGAAGAGGCGGACTCACGAATGCAGCGCTTGGCTTCACGCTCGAGAGCGCTTCGCTTGCACTGGCGGGCGGGTGTGGTTTCCTGAGGCGGGCGGGTGTGGTTTCCTGAGCAGGGGAATTGTGGTTGTTAATTTGTTCCGTGGAACGGAGCATAGTTCTTCTTGCTGCTTTCTTTCTGCGGCGTTCTTACCCGATTCCTTGATGTCAAGTCGTCGGTGTAGTGTTCCACGGCACCCGGCTGTGCTAAAGCAGCTAGATGTGTTGCTCCAGAGCTTCGGGAATATCCCCTTCTCCAGGTTCGTCAAGCAACGACCACCACATCAACAATCAAGCTTCCCAGCCTTGCCTATGTTTACCGTTCTGCCGCTTGTGCCGTGCCAACTCTGGCTAGCAGAAGCTACCATAAACAGTTCATAAACCACATGCCATATGCAAGCCTTAGCAAAAGGCTTTGCCCAAAGCTTCGAACCGGATTGCGTTTGCCATGGGGCGGCTGGGCTCTGTGCACCCAAGACACCTGGTGCCGTCACGCGATTCTTCAGGGAGCTGACAGGTTCGGGAGGCTCCTGCCATGGCTCTTCCAAAAAAATCTTTCCAAAAAATCCCTACCTCCCTTCTTTCGTCAGGGCTATGCTCCTCCCTCTCTTCTTCCACACAGTCAAGAGAAGGACGCAACACCCCTCTCTGCGCGTGGGCGCGCAACGGTTGTCCGGTCTCCGCGTGAAAACTTCTCGATGAGGCCCCGGTATACGAGCAGATAGTCCACCAACTAGCGTAGAAAGCTAAAACCTCCTGGCCTCATCAGGCTCACGCATGCACTTTATCCCCTATCCTCCCTCCCTCTCTCTCTTTCCAGGGCATAGCGGCTGGACAAAGCCCCCAGGTATCATGCCGACACGATGTTTTATCAGGTAAGGGGGAGTGAGTAGCGAATGTAGATCATCAGAGGCTGATGCCATAAAGACTACATCTCCCTCTTGCTTGCTTGCTTGCTTGCTTGCTTGCTTGCTTGCTTGCTTGCGTGGGGTCTGGGGACAAGTCCCCCGGCCCGAAGGCCAACCCCCTCAAAGTTCGCGCAGATCCGTCTGAGAGGCCCTTTCCGGGAATAATGATCCCTCTCTCTCTCTCTCTCTCTCTGCCGAGCCGAGGGTCTGCATGGGGGACATGTCAAGTTCTGGGCCTTATGTAGGGCTCTGCCGTTCTCGCAAGCATATATAAATAAGCAACAACCAATAATCCGCATTCACGTGGTTCTTGGTACTGTAGAACGTGCTTTGTGAGAGGCCAGAGCTCCTCCAGCAGGTCATGCTCCCAGGAAGCTGCAATCACAACCTGACATCACTCACATCTCATACGACACCTCTGTGAAGAAGTGCATATCGGTGTACCGTACTTGCCGAAAACCCTAGTGCAGGCATGGCTCAAATCTGGGGCCCTCCCGATCCCCGAGCCTTGAGCGGTTCTTCCGCTTTGGGCGTGTCGGGGATATCAGCGAGATTTAGGCCCTCAGACCTGCCGGTCCACGGCTCCTAGTCGTGGTTGTATCAAGCTTGGGCTTAGGGTTCCGTCGAAGGCACCGCTGCGACGTGTTGAAGTTGGGATGGGTCGGCTCACGATGCGGCGTTTCCGATGCCAACAGGAAGACTCCAGATCTGCCAGCACGAGCTCAGCAATAAGGGAGACAATGTTGGAAGCAGCACAGGAGTTGGGGAAGAGGACAGCTTTGTAGCAGAAGTTTTTTTCACCAACAACTCTTGAAACCAGCCATGTTTACATCTGTGCAGCATATGGTCTGCAACATTGAAGGGGCATGCTGACATGATGAGTTCAGCAGATTTCACCCATTCACAAATAAACACTCGGACTCCCGCCAAACCTTTAAACCATCTTGAACCATGAGCTTGTACTTGTGCCTGGATGCGAAAAACGGTAAAGAAACTCTAGAGCCTAATCCTACGAACTTGAAGCCCAAGAAATGCCAGCGGCGGAGCCTGGACCTTGGAGAGTCTCGATCGGCCTACAGGAGTGGTCGGGCTCCGAGTCCCACTCTTTAAGGCAATGGATATACAAGGACTATGAGGGATTCCCACCTTATAGTCTGATTCTCTATGAGGACCATAAAGTAAGCTTCTTCGGTCACTAACAAGCCGGGGGTCATATTATCTGGTAGGTGGTCCACGAACCCATCGCCAGTCTTGTCTGGTTGCGGAACCCCCTATCTTTCATTTTCGATTCCCCCGGCAGGGATGTTCGTCGGCTGGGCCGCACCTTCGCGTGCCGTTTTGTCTTGATGCACTTGTGGATGACTACCATGTAGCAAGGTCAGTTCAAGCTGCTTCCCACTTTGCCAGGGTATGTGGGGAGCGCGGAAGAATGGGTGGGCCATAGTATTCTGTGAGGTGCGGGCCTCTGGGATTTCAAGATCAACCTGCCTGCATTCTGTCCCAGTACGCCCAACTCGCAAGGACATGCAGCTTTGAAGCCTAAATCTTGCAATTGAACATCAGCGACAACATGACTTATTCACAGCCGGTATAACTGCAAAGCGGCAAAACGGCGCTGCGCCTGCTGCGCCTCGTGAGGCTGCGCCTCCATCTCTACAACCTCCATCTCAAGCTTCACGAACTTGGGCTCGTCAGGAGCCGTGGGATTCATAAATTTCCTCAGCGTGACGCATGACACATCCACTGCATCTCCTTTGCCAGATGGATAGGGCAGGGTACCGATAATCATGAAGCTCTGCTTGAGGAATGGATTCCACCGAGGCTCCAAAAGTCCCCGCAGGAGGCGAAACAACAATCCTAAACCTACAAACCCAATACCACTATGAGCCCACAACTCTAACGCCCCAAGGGCCGTACAGTTGATCATAACATGCTGCATAGCGGAATATGTGACAACATGATACAGCATCCGATGTCAGGTCCAACTGTCTAACCCCGCAACAACATACTGTAGCATCATCTGGCATGATATGCGACAAAGCTATGTATCTTGACCATCTTAATTAGGACTAACTATATAGCAGAGCGAAGCTGCTTGCCCTGAGACGTAGTCTGCGTCTGAGGCACTCGAGGGCTCCGGGTGGACGAGGTCGCGGTGCAGGTTGCGAGGTTTTGAGCAGCTCCTAGCTTCGGCTGTGTAGGGTTGAGGGATACTGTTTATTGAGTTTTTTTGTATGGTCAAGAATCGGGCACCTATGATCAACTTCTTGATCTTCCTTCCAAAGACTTGTTCACGCGCAGTTTGCGCTAGGTCTCAGGACCCTTTCGTTTCGACATTTCCAGTGTTGTCGGACTTCAGGCTTGTTAAGTGCCGGTGCGCAATGGGTTCTTGCAGTTGTCGGGGAAGGGGTGTAATTCCGCCACTTGTTGAACACTGGCCGTGCATTTCCTGCATAAGAGCTCTTTGGGTATGCTGACTGTACTCTGGTCTAGATCTCCAACAAAGGTCCTAGCTCTCCCATAACATATGAAGCAGTCAGGCACGTCAACAAAACGGAAACCCGAAGCACACCTGAAAACAAAAACATTAAACAGCAAAATCGCAAATAAACACGCCAAAGTCCCGAACTGCCGTGCCTGCCTCGTCTTGCGAATATTCCAAAACTGCTTCAGTTCAAGAGCAGCCTAGAAAATCGATTTCCGCCATCCGATTGTACCATGTGAGTACCCGTCTGCGTGCCTGTTCCACATGCTTCCAAGCAAATAAAAACCATAAATTCCGTGTGTTTTAATGGGTCCGCTGAAAAAACATCACATCGTCATGTGCTCCAGAGCCTCCGCGTCGTGGTTTTCACGAGGCAAAACGCTTCTAGCAACGTCGAAAACTCAAATTCCTCGAGTTGTTAACTCTTCCCGACAAACCCCGGTCGATGAAAAGATCGAACACAACTCAATATATTAGCACTCCGCCTGGCAGCTGCTGAAGCATTGTGTTTCGAGGTGAAACGCGCTTTGACGCCAAAACGCAGACTTCTCAATCAATGACACATGTGTGCTTTTGCTGGTTTTTGCCATGCGTCGGAGCGATATACTAATTGCTACTGCTTATAAGTACACTTGACACCTCTTCCCAGTACCATTGACAGATGGAAGACCGCGGCGGAATCGTTTATACCTGCCGCAGCCTTTCGCCATGCTCATGCTTCACTGCGAGGGTGAGCTACATAGAAGGAACACACATCTGAAATTGTCCCGTGGATCCCTTGGCGACCCTGGAAGTTGCGGGATTCGGCTTGCGGATGCCTGACTCCCGTATCAAGCCCCGCAGCGCGCTCCTGCGCATTCTCGGAGGCCATGCCTTGCACCTTAAATCGGCAAATCTGAACCTGATTGAGGCTTTGGCTGGCATACCTCAGGGCCCGGCCCGCTTCATCACTGCTGCAGCTACTGCCTTAGGAGAAATGGAGGAGCGCAGACCAGACTTGACATGTCGAACCTTGTCCGTCACACCGTCCACAACAAACACAAGCCTGAAACTCAGACTACCCAAACGTTCTGGGGAAAAATCCTCTGCTGCCTGAGATTCAACACCGCTTTTCTCACCGCCACCCCGCTGTTTCCAGCTCGGCCTTCCCCTGGGGCTGCTGCCTGAGCCTCCTGCAGTTCCTCCCGAAAGAAAGGACTCTCAAACACTTTCAGACTACGAGGCGTCCCCTTTGATGTCCCGCAGGCCTCTTGTGGGATGTCTCTTGTGCCCCTAGCCACTGCACATCACACTACTGCTAGTCGCATCAATACCTGGACCTTCGAGGCTTCTCCAGGCTGCGGCGTGGCACTGATGGTAAAGCAATACGGACCTACGACAAGTAGTGACCAACATGTGCGTAATGATCGCAAAGATGGCTCAATCCCGTGATGCCTCGGATGGAACCCGGCAGAGACAAAACAAAGGGCTTCTTCCAAGGGCAGCAAGTTTAGGGGGATAGCTGCCTGCTTGCCGACTTGCGTCCTCTGCTCCGGTAAGGTTCCTCATGCTACATTCCATAGTATTGCTCTTCCGAACCGCAACTCTTCACGTTGCCTCTTTCAAAGCCCGGCCTCTTCACTGTGGGCGAAGCGGCAAGCTGGACCCACAACACAGCGACCTCGGAACGTCGGCGATGCCACGACTTTTGTGTGAAGTCCTCAAAGCTGGCCGAGCTCAAAACCCAGCATGTGGAAGCTGCACATCTTGCTCTTCAGCAGATGGGGCCTGAGCATACGAGACTGTCCAGGTCTGCCGAGATTCTGTGCCAGAATGTCCAAAGTAGTCTAGCTGATCCGACTGATCCTACAAATCTAGACCACTGAGACACTTCTTTCGCTTCCTCTTCCTGCTTCCAGAGCACTGTACCCGGAGCTGCTGAACTGAGTGCGCATAGCGGCAGCCCTTCGCATCACATTTCCCGGTGTGCAGGAAAACCTCAAGTTCGCAGCTCGCGAGCTCGCGGTCTAAGAGTCTCAGAGTCTTAGAGGGGCCAAGCTCCAGGTTCATTTGAAAAGGCCGAGTCTAGGAACTTAAATAAAGTGTTGCGTTCCTGTCCTGGTCTACACTTACTACTTCTGCTGCTGCTACTTCTCAGCGCCAACTTGTTGCACCATCAAAGTAAAACGAATGCAACTCTAGCACTGGTCGCTCTTCGGGACATCTGCAAGCAGGGAGCGTGCGCTTAGATGGGCTAGGAAGCCCCGAATCGTGGAACTGGCTTGAGCGCAGCCGTTTCGAATCGCAAAACATGTAGACCCTCAAAGTTCCGAAAAGACTGTACCCAAAGCCGAAACACACTCAGCTCCGAGCTGGACACACCGAGGTGCACTCGAAGTCCGGGGAGGGTCGCAGGTCGTCCTCTTGCATTCATAATGGCTTATGCTTTCTTTAAGATTTCTTGTCCTAAAAGAGCCGCGCCTGGCCGTGTGCGAAGGAACAAAGTGAGCCCTTCCGGCATTTTCCAACCTTCACATAGCTCCCGACTCGAGGGTTCATCCCCGCATAGCTCATACACAGGCACAAACAGTTGCTCAGGCATAAAACTGAGACATGAACAGATGGACCCGGCTGGACGCGGGGGGCAGCTACTGCGCATCATTGCACCCTTAGGATATTTTTTCCTGCCGGAAGTACCATTTCCCTGTCACAATCCCGCAAGGGCTTACACGGCTTCAAATCCAAACGCCGGCGATTCCAAAGTTCCCACCACCGCAGCTCGAAGATGCTTCATCAAACCCAGGATTCCATGAAACCTATCTGGCGCAACGTGGCATCAGCAGCCTGCCAAAACTCACAGAGCCGGGTCTTCCAGAGAGGTGAAACCTGGTCTTCATGGCGCACAGTCTGTGAGAGGTCATTTCCGATCTTAGAGAAACTTCGGAGCTCGATCTGGCACAGGTTGATGGTCAGTTCTGCTGATCGCCTTTGCTCTGTTCTCCCGCTTAACGACCTGCGTTGGGTGGGTATGAGACTCGAAGGCTTCATTAATGACCATGCTCAGAGGAAAAAACCGTCGCCCTCATCAGCGGCATTCAAGATACATGAAATCTCTAAAGACTCTCAAGTGATCAGGTCGTGGGTGGTGATCATGAGGAGAGTACATGCCACCATAGATATGGGTTTCAACATGGCATCGGCATCACGCCGGACAAGAGAAGAGGAGCATCTGAGAGCAGCATCTGTCACTTCTATTCATTGAATAGTTACTGTTGAAGTCCCTGCATGTGTCTGAATTCAGTTGACCCCGAATCATGTCGCTTAAGCCTCGATTGCGCAAGAAGCCCATGACCCCATGCCACACCTTTGGCCCCATACAATGCCTTCCCAACCGTTTGTTTTCCTCTCGCGACTTCTTTGGCCCGCCGCTCCAAACCACGCGAACCGGCAAGGCCCAAAGGTCCAAACATGCCCTTCCTGATGCTACTCATGTTGGATGCCTTCTCGACGACTTTTCCTGCGGTCTCCCTTGGTCTGGCCTATCGAAGGCCACGGTGAAGGCAGCGAGACCCAGCTTAAGGCTTACGAGCTGATTCTTCAGGTCAAGTCACTATGGTGCCTGACTGAACCAAGGGCGGTTGAATCGGGTCTCGGACTTATCTTCCATTTTTGGGCCAAAGAGCGAATGTGAACGACATGCTATCCAAGGTTGAGGTGATGATTCGGTGTCGGTTGCAGTGTCGAAGCCACCCGATCATCTGCCACATTATCGAGAAGCATGTGCAGCTTCGGTACCATAGTCGCTACCGGCTTTGATTGTTGTTGCATCTGACAGCTGACAACCGGCAAACATGCAATAGCCCACTTGCGCAAGCAAGCTGGTGTTTCGGATCAACCTGTCGGTTTCTGTTTTCATTTTTTGAGCTCGGCTGCAGCATGTGAAAATGATGTAATGTCAGTTTACCTTGCAGACTCAATACTGCGGCAACTCTTGCGCATGACAGCACGAAGTTGTTGCTTCCGAACTGGTGGGCCAAACCAGTTTGTGGGCCTGGCATGCTCGACAGCTAAACTGACAGAACACGTGGATTCAGCACAACTTCTACCCGTTTCAGAGTTTCTTGGCCCTGAAGCTCCATCCATAAGTAGATCTTTGCGCAACTGCATCCGACAATATTCGGAAGTCCCCTCCGATCCCAGTTGCCGAACAAAGCCGGCGGGGGCCTTCCCCTTTCGCGCAGCTGGTGGCCTTCCTGTTCTGAAAACGCCCCTACAGTAGGTCTTGGTAGCAATCTCCAGTCATCTATCCATCCCTAGACAACAGAGATATGGTGCCCCATGTCATGACCGAATCCTGCCTTTACGGGGAGAGGCGTGGGCGTGTGCGTGTGCTTTGAAACCAACAACCTGACAAACATGTACCAGCAAGTAATGCACAATCCCAGTTCCATAAATCCCCACATGCAACAAGTCCACAAATACGCAGATCCGTCAGTTCACAAATTTCGACTTGCATAATTCAGTTAATTCATCATAATTCCAAAGTGGCCTCATTCCACAACTCCACAAATCCGAAAATTCCACAGTTCCTTTGCGAACAGTAAGTGGGATGACAATGAAGAACAAATGATATTGTGGTTCTTGAGCTGGAGATTGTACAGTCGTGACGCCAAGATCCGAATATCATCAAATATGAGTTGATGTTCACTGTGGTGCTCAAAATACCGGCTCGCAGAGCATTGCTTGGATGTGTTCGCGAGGCGAAATGCTTCGAAAGGGCCATTTCCCGCTAGCATGTCAAGGACGATACCCAAAAGCGAGGTGGTCTTGGTCATCTATATACAACTTTACGGTTTGAAACAAAAAATGATAACCTGGGCCTTGGAAGCGAATACGACTACGATGATTGTTGATTGTCGCTCCGAGGCCTCGCCGAGAAGCAACCGAGGCCCCAGCCTGTGCCGAAGTCCGACTTTGGCGGCGGTGGCACTGCCATGCACCTTAAGTGCCGTCACTGCCTAGCTCCATTGCGGCACATTTATCAAACTTCACGAAGCGACGGTTCTGCGATTCCGTTGTCTGCAGCTCGCGACTCCTCTCGAGCTTTCAACAACACGTCTCAGGTATCAAGACCTGCCTCTTTCGTGGGCAATGCCTTGCGGTCCAAGAGTCCATCCAACGGGAGGCCCCGCCTCCGGCAGCAGCCCGATGCTCGAGCCACTATGAGCCACGGAAGGATGACTCCAGCAGTGCCGCAACCGCTTCAGGACCCAAAATCGAGCATGAAAAGGGTCGGTGTTGTCGTCCATCGAGCCTTCAGCTGCAAATCCACTTTGTTGGGGTCGCTGAGTTCTACATTACAGTACATTACAGTACATTACATTACATTAAATTACATTACATTAATTTACATTACATTACATTACATTATACACTACGTCAGTACGCCTTGGCCGGCAGCGCAGGACGTCAAATGAGGGCTTTGGGCGCCCATAGCCATAGGCCTGTTGTGAGCTACAGGGACAGGGCATTCGGAGACGGAAGATATGCAGCGGCTACAGACGGAGCAGCCAGCAAGACGTTGAGCGGGCATCAATCGGGCAAGTGCTCGTGCACGTGTATTTGCATCGTTCCCGTCCTTTTCCTTCATGCTGCTGCAGTCTCCTGAGTTTGGACCGTGTGCTAGCTGCTGGCTTGTCCGAGCCCCCGTTCATTTATTGCGACGTATTGCAGGTCTGTTGACTTGGTTCACTGTTCATTGGGAGCCGTGCATAGAGCACAATGTCTGGCTTCTTGCGCCCGAATACTTCGCACCTGCATCGACGAGAGGCATGCCTACTGACAGAGGGGCAGGTATCAGCCCAGCGGCGGCAACTCCACTAATCAGCCCTGCGTCCAGCAATTTCATGCCATTTCGGTCAAATGCCGAACGACCTGATGCTATACCTCCAACGAAGCCCAGAATCTGGGCACAATCAGTGTATGAAACACTACAGCATGCCACGCCAGTGTATCGTTTGGCTAAGCCCGCGTGGTGGCGATTGCAAGCAAACCTTTACCGACGACTAAGACTTCCTTCGGTTCTAATGCTTGTTGCCTATGGGTGTTCTGTCGCGGTCTCGGACGCGGCCAGAGCTCACATCTTCATCGTCACTCTCAACCTCGGAAGCTGTCGCATCAGAGATGGGACGCACTTGAAACAAGGCCGGCGTTGGACTCGTCGGCCCCACAGGAGCGAAGGTTCCCTATGCTTATTTCTTGCGCGCCCAAGCCTAGTGGTTACGACTTAGACGATCGCATCCTTGAACAATCACGGAGCAGGGTGTTCTGCATAAGGCGCTTCGCGAACGTTAAGCCAACATGCCAGAGCTAGACCCTCGTTCACTTTTTTGTGATCTGCGAGCACGGACTTTTTGAATGATAATAGCCAAATTATTGCCTTGAGCGTAGTTGGGTCTAGTCGTATGCTTCATATTTCCAGGCTGGAGCGTTGCGAGCTAAGAGTCTTTAGGGTTTCTGCTGGAAGATTTAGCTGGGACAATTTTGCGAGGCGTGGGCATGCAGGGGTAAGACAGGCAGTATGGCATGCAGATTTTACTGCTGAGTGCCAGACGCTGACTGACAAAAACCGGAAATTGACCCAATGTTTACAAAGGCTGCATTCAACATCTCTCGCTAGGTGTTGGTCCTCATCGATACCTCCATCCGACGAGTGGTCAGACGGAGACTGGTATACTTCTAGGGTTTACGAGAACATCCAATTCCATCAGTTGTCTTATGGCTCAGATGGGGCCGCTCGAGCAATTCAGGCGAGGCTTGTCGGGCGGAAGGTGAGGCCTACCACAAATTGCAAAACAAGCTGATCATAAGGCGCCGTCTCGCCGCGATCGTTCAACCTTGTCAGCAGGGGTGACAAGAATGGAGGGGGCCAGGACGTGCCCAAAGACAAAGATGGATTAGGGCACAGAAAGCGCTCAAATTACAGCCACCCTCATCTCTCGCTCCGATGTTCGTGGGGATACTTCAAACACGTAGCTGTGTGGGTAGTCATTCGTTGGAAAAGACCTGGTTCAGCCACATATTCGCAACAGCTGAGGTGGCCACCCAAGCTTGCGAACTTTTATCTTCCCACCACGGATCGCCTGACCAATCGAGCTCGTACTCTTGGGAGTTGGTGCTTGCACACAGCAGCGACGAACTTGGATTTGAGTGGTATGCAATAGGCATGCACAGATCTGAAGCCTCAACCCCACCTACAGTATGTTTACCCGTGACATGCAAGCACGCCGAAACAAGCCCTGCGACCGTGGCGCCTGCACCGGCCCAATGCCACGGCCCTTCACGTCATGTCTCACGGAACAAAACCCTGCGAGCCTTCTCGGGGTCAGACCCGAAATCTGCAGAAAACTCAGATTTGGGGAGCCTCACTTCGCATAAACAGGCAAGACCAGGGCAAGACGATGGCGCACAAGGCACATCAAACACATCATCTCCCCTTAACTTCAAGTAGATAGCATCAACTGATGTTTCGGGTTCAGCGTCCTGGGTTTAACGACCGATCGTATGCTGGCAAGGTGCAGTGCGAATACTGGATCCCCGCCACCTCGGGTCTGCAGCTTCCATGGTTCGGAGTCCAGCTCTCTGAGAGAATAGCTTAGGGTGGAACAACTCCGAGCAGTGGGCGCAAACTAACCTTTCCAGGGTACCCCAGGAGGGTGTCACGTTCACGAAGACGCCGAAGGTGAAAATCCCCAGCACCTTCCAAGAAAAACGTCGAGACCGATCCCCTCTTGACGGCTACCACGACAGCCATGGATTGTTTATGTAGATTCAATCCAGACAGTCGTAAGGCAAACACCCATGTCCATGAAGACTGCTCGATGGGCGGCTTCATTATCTCTTCACATGTCGTCGAGCACTGTACATGCTTAGACTGTACAGAGAGCTAGTCGACAGCGGCTTAGCTGCTGTATTTGTCGACACTCGCGCGTCCGACGCTTAACTTGAGCAGGAACTATCCTGCTGCAACTGTTGCTTCTGCCCTCCCCCAATCCGCAAAGTCATTCTTGGCTTTGCGCAGCGGCTGAATAGCGGACAAGACGTCCACATCCTCTTGGAGGCTGTCTTTAGCAAGCCGCAGGAGATCCTCGTGCGGATAGCGAGAGATCATTTCAAGCACGGCGGGTTTGGTGGCGTACCTGGTCGGGATGCCCTGGCCCAACGCGAGCTACCATTTGGCACCCGGCAGAACTAAGTTCGAGTCGAGATGCCTCAAGCTCGTCTTGTCTGCCTCAAAGGCCGCAGAGACCACATCAGCATCGGCAAGAAACTTCGACCTTGTCTGCAATTCTATCAGCAAACCGCAAAGCCTCAAGCAACAAGAAATTTGTCGAGCACCCTTGCCAGCTTTCCGACACAAGCGCGCTAAGGAAACAGGAATCGCAATTTCATGATGTCGCTGATTGCATATGAATGAAGATATGGCAGGTGGGACAGACTGTCTGTTGTTCACTTTGTAGCCAGAGCCACGCAAAAGCTGTCGACAGCCCTCAGCTCTCGGAAAGTAAAAAACCGAAATCCCGGGGCACCCGCCAGGCGAATTTCAGGGCATGCGGATGCTCTCGGACAGCATCGAGCAGCAAGGCCTGTCGCAGGATATCTGAAGCCGGAAACCCGATTTCCGCCAAAATTGATTGACATTCGTGTTCTGAACCGTATGAAACCGAGTAATAGTAAGATATTATATCGCAATGTCATTTGGTCTCTCGCCAACATGTCTCTCGTGACGGCCGCGTCATCTCGTCTTTCGCACAGACCCCGCTTCCTATCGCTGGCCCAGCCTTGTCCCCGACGTACTTGGCAGCACGGGGATTCTGACCGACGGCGACCAGGACCACCTGTCGCGAGCAGCTCAGCTCGGACCCGCGCTGGGCACACATCCGTGACTGTGCCGCCACAGATGTGTACTTATTCATCGACGGCGCCAGTTATGAAGAATAACAGCACTGACTGCTAAAACCATCACAATTCTTTACTCGTGTCAATGCTCGTTGAGGAAAGAACAGGCTAAAGACTTCTGCAAAGAATTGGTGGTTGGGTGGAAAGTTGGTGCTGCGGCCTGAACCGAGAACAGTGCGAATGGCAAAGCTGATAGAAGTAATGCTGTACTTATTAATAATCGCACAGATAGCCGGCAACACTTGTCACCATAACCAAGTGCCATACAGCTTCGAGCCTACGCCGAACATGCTTGCATCCATTGCTGGCACCCGCTCGTGCCCCGCGTTGGCTCTTGGAGTACAAAACATGGATGTGCAGCCTTGCCCCAAGTCTAGACAAGTCAGAAGAAGAATGCCAACAGGTATCGTGAATCATCACCTTCCCGGCAACGTCACCTCTCGAACCATAAACTTCGCCGGCACAAAGCGGAGCGCTAGACCGTTCCTTCGTTCCGGATTCAGAGGAAGGGCGCGAGTAACGGGTAAGACACTGTGTGTACTGTAGTTTTCAGCCGCTCTTTCTTTATCCAGGGGCAAAACGGGCTGTTGAGACACCTAGGTGGCGTCAGGACTGCATGCCGTCGGTCGGGTTGGCTGCAGCACTTTGAAAACTCACCGGGGGCGAGATATAAAATGCGAAGCCCAGGTTCCTCCTTACATTTGCAATCATTCGCAATCCTCAAAACGAGCCTGACCTGGCATGCGTCTTACAAGCTCTAGAAATCATCTGGCCCCCGCAGATTCAAGGATTTCTGCGCTGCATTGCGGCCCTTGACCCTTCTGACTCGAAACACTCGAACTTGTCCAACACAAAGGTTCTGGGCCACAGCTGTCATCACCATGGGCTCCGTCATGTGATGTTTTTTGCAGAATTCCAAGGCCAGTGGGTTCCTCGGAACATGGCTTGGGCGAGCGGCTCGTTTAGCTAGAACCCCCGTTCCCCATCCGTGGCAGTTGATCAGTCGACGGAAAGAAACTCGCAATTCGGGTGATGTTGTGCAAAGGCTGGGAAAGCGCAGTCTCCCAGCTCGCGGCTTCGAACCTTGTATAGTCTGCATGTACGCATGCATTGGTAATTAAACCACCGGGAGATGACAACATTCACAACGATGATAAGACAGAAGAACGCTGCAAAAGGAACATAGCCAAGTCTCACGGCACCGCACTATGCTATGCTGCTTCACTGTCGCCACATGGTAAAACTACCCAACGGTTGCTTCTGTCTGTAACTCAGCAGCGGAGATATACACAACCAATGCCTTAGACAATTTGACTCCGTGCTGGGAAAATATGGGCAATACGGACATGTAGTTCCATCTGCATCTGAATGTGCGCATTGCGCGTTACTCATGCCTAGTCATATAATCCACACGCGCCTTCCTCGCTTCAAGTCAAAACTACTTATAGTACCACCACCACCATCATCACCACCGCTCCTGCCACTCCTCTTGCTGCGTTGTGACGGCGACGGTGGCTGTGCCAGTCAAGGCGACGATGTCCACGACGACCACGACAGCCACCAACGACAGTTGCAGAATGATGTAACACACGAACACGAATCGGTCGTGGTTTGGTGGATAACCCAACCGCGCTGTTCTCATTCCTGGAAAAGCACATAGTGACCTAGCGGCTATAGACTCGACACACTGTCGATGAGCATTAAGCGAACCCACGAAAAACGGGATTTGCCGCAACAATCCAAGCCTACCGCTCTAGCAGCGTGCTCAGATTTCACCACCATCCCCTCCGGATCCCCTCCCAGCCCTCTCAGAGCAAATTAATCAAATCTAGGCGTCTGTTCAACGGCAGCTGAAGCCATCTTGGCGGTTTGCAGCCGAGTGTACTGCAGAAGCAGCCCATTCTTCGCCTGAGAGATGGACAATAAGTTTGATGGTGGGGAGTATTGATGGTGGATGTTCGAGTCATCGAGTCAATCGGCTCAGAATCAGCTGAGGGATTTCAATTCCTGACCAGCAGAAGTGCCAAAAGTGCATTGTGTCATCAGCATGGGACCAGACCAACACTGTCTCAAGTCTGCCGAGCTTCGATGTGCGGCATCAAGAAGGCTTCGTCTGCACAGGACAGCCGCAAGCCCTCCATATCCCTCCGTCCCTTCACTCTCCCGCATTCCCGAACCATAGGACCATTGCTTGTAGTTCATGACTGGTTCAGGGCTCAAGCGCAAACGATGACAGTATGCATCGAGCAACCAACGCATGAGTCAGCGGGTGAGTGTTGTAAATGGGCACCGCTACTGTCATGCAAGATCATGCAACAACATGAACGCAACTTCCTGACATGCCCAGCCGCTTTTCCGAAGATCCGGATGCAGGAAGCGAGCCACGTCCGGATCTGCATTGAGAGCCTGTGGTGGCATGAAGCTACCTTCGCATGACATCCTCCTGCAGGATGCCTTTCTACATAGTCTGGCCAGCCGGCTCTCCAAGGACCCCACTGCTATCAGAGTCGAGACTTGAACAAAGTCACAAAACAGCCCGGCTCTCCTGAAAACATGATGAACCGCTCGACCCAAGTGCGGTGCGCAGAATCCTGGAAGCGCCCCTTCCGCCTCTTGAAGACCCTACCCCGTCGTCGCACAATACATGCAACACGCTGAACTGGAACCATTCCTTCCCACATGGCCTTCTCCGCCAGCTTCTTATTTTTCCGCGCTGCCTCTCCCAGATTGCAAGTCGGCGAGTCTTCTCTCCAACATAAAATCTCATAGTTACTGCCAGCCGAGAAGGGAACAGTCGACGCTCACTGGGCAGACCGGCGCGGATGGCTTGCGAAGCATCGGGACTCACATTCTGTCTCGTGGGAATGGTCTGGCACACTGACAGGCCTTCGATGCTCGGGCCAAGGCAAAAGGGTGGCTTGCCATCGCCAGCTCCACTACCTCTTCGTCCTGGGCGGCCGGCCAACCAGAAACTGTGAAGCAACTGTTTGTGTGTGTGTGTGTTTGTTTGTTTCGGGGTGCACCGGAAATGCATGTGAAAGTCCAGACTCCAAGCCCGTAAACCTTAAATGCTTGTGGAGCTCGCATCTGGTGTTAGGAATGTAGACAACTCTGCGATAGTACCTTTCCAACTTTGGGGGCGTGCGCCACGTAGCTGTGTTGGTCTGAAGGAGCACTCATGGATGGGAACTGCCACCAGATGCACGACCAGGGCACGCCTCGCAGCGAAGCTCCACGGACGTGGTGCAGTGCCTTGCCGTTTTGCCTCACAGCGGCGAGTGCAAGGTCTCGGTCACGCCTCAACTCCTGGGGCAACGTAGGACACGGGTCTTAGTTAATCCACTGCACATAGCGTTGATTTAGCATAACCCATATGTAATGAAACACGTTGAGAAACTTTGAGCTTTGCAGATTGACCTCTCCGGCTGTTCCGGCATTGGGTGACTTCTGACTTCGACTACACATTGACCACGCCACTTATACTGGCCGGCTTGGCCAGAGCGAAACTTGCTGTTTGAGGTCCGCTCCATTGACGGCTTGAGCTTGCATATCCGCTCCTCGGTGGCGTAAGCGAGGGCTTCTCCATCAGACATAAGCATCACCTCAGTCTCGGGGATTCGCAGGACAATCCGGGAACGTATTGTTTTCCGGCACACTTCTCGACCAATGAAGCTGCGCAGAATGGCACCCCTCCGAATGGCCCCGTGGCTAATCGTGGCTAGAGATGTTGCTGCGCTTCAATGGAATCGGTGTTCTTCACAAACGTATAGGCTGATGTAATGAGTCAGTAGGACCACTGCGGAGCACAAGTAAAGCCCCCTCGGGGTCAAAGTCTAGTACTGTTACTTCTTTTTCCTGGTAAGCATTGTAGATGCCCGGATTCGTTGTTTACTGGTCTTGCAGTCTTTTCACAGTGATTTCACATAGCTCTTTGGCAGCTTTGTGTTTCAGACTGGTTAGGGTGCAAGTGTTTTGGAAGCCTTTGTGCGAGTAACTACCTCGCAGAGTCTAGTATACAGCTGAGATTTCGGGACATATGACCTATACGTCGATAATCTCATTCTGTCGGACAAATGACACAGCAGAAGTGCCCCGCCTGAGCAGCATTTTGAACGTTGCCACTTCGACACGTGCAACATACAACGACAGAACATCCCCAGCGATATGATGCAGCCCTTGGTGATGACCTCTCTTATCTGAAGAGCAGCTTGTAGCGTGTCTCGATCGGAAATGGGCTCCAACTTCTGGTGGTCCTTGGCGGTTCGAAGTCCGCTCGACCATCTGACACAAGAAGGCTGCCAGTAGCACCTTGCTCTGGCAGCCTCGCCGGACTCGTCGGACCATGTCTTGGGGTCCGAAAGCTGGACGGCAACAACCTCCTATTTCGTGAGTCGCGAGGAGTTGCACGAATGCGGCCAGAGATCCACATGTACGAGAGCCACCTCAGCATCTCTCCCACAACGGCGATGCACTCCCTACTGTCGTACTGCTGCCGGCAGGATGCAAAGGAGTCCTGAGCTTCGCACCTCAGCCTCTGGTCCGTCGACGACCTCGCCCAGACGCTGAGCCTCGCCTCACATGGTGCCATGGTGTCAGGTGTCCTACCATGGGGGCCTAGGTATTGGCTGTAGTGCAGATAGGTGGAGGTCTGGAGCATACACTGCAAGTATTCGCCAACGCAGCATGCAGAGTTTGCCTGACTCATTGTCATGTCAGTATAGTCTGGCTGTACACGATCCTGTCATTCGTCAGCGCGCCGTGATACTGTGTGACGTGCAGAAGGATCCGGCCAGAAGCTGCTGCCATACCAAGACGTCACAGACAACCCTGCCCCTGTACAGGCATACAGGGTACAGGACTGTCATCAGATCGCCCCACTTGCCTAGGGGTTGCTGGTCATAAAGAAGACGCTGTCGTCTCCAGTGTAATCCTGACGGAAGGATCGGCTGCACACCATGCCAGCCATAGAGTGGATGCCCGTGCTCGGACAAGCCTCTGTCACTGCTGCAAGACGAGTTGAGAATCTGGGCGAATCGCCAGTTTACGCGCCCCGGTTTCAACCCCGAGTCTACATCTCCTGATTCTGGCCGTAAACCTCAAAACGATTCCGCAAGAAAGCCCGTACAAGCCTCAGAGATTTCTGAAACACTGCCACATCACGCCTTCATGCAAGTTGGTCCGGCTGCGCCTGTTTCTCGCTTGATCGCCATCATCACATCAAACACGAAAGACCGTCTGTCCTGGGTCTAAACAGGGAAGTACGGAAACCAGTCAGGATTAAGGCACTTTTGCGATTCGCTGAGATTTGTGTAACGCTGGACTTGTTTGCTTGGCAACAGGTGGTCGAGCAACGCCAGAATCTAAAGATCTGTCCTCCCTGTCTGTCAGTTTTCAGCGGCAAACTTGACGAATGGTGGAAGCCGCGAAACCATGTCCAGCTCTGTCACGACACGGGAGGAGAGCCCTCGCAGAATCCGAACCTCGAGTCACCAGGTACAGTGCTACAGTTACAAGACTACCGGCATCCGGCTTCTCGGCATCTGAGTGTTGCACTTGCAAAACCGCTACAGTGAGATCGAAAAACCCATGTGCCTGGCCAAGACACCTTTATTCTGTCTTCCACGTTTGCCATGGCTCTGACAGTCCGAGGTTCGAGCAATCTAAACACGGCTTCCAATCCGTTTGAACTGCAACTCTAGCTGTTCGCATCTCGTGCTTTAAGTTCAGTAACGGTTCATCGGCTTTGATGTGAGCTTGAGGGCTTAATGTCTGGGTCGTGGACGTGCAGTGTTGGAGCGTTGGGCAAAAGTAGGTGCTCCGAGTTCGCACAAGCAACCAGGCTTAAAAAGTGCCCTCTGTCGATAGGATAACTTCAATGATTATGTTGGCAACGACGGCACTTGCCATGAGGCCGATGGTGCTTCTGTTGCTGGTGGTGCTGACCGGGGCTATGACTTGATTATTGTGTTTTTGTTGCTTGCTCTGACATGACCACTATACTATATGTTACTTCCGAGTGCCCCACCTCAGCATCGAGCCACTCTTCCGATGCGACCTGCGGCAGCGAGCAAGCTCAGATTCTTCGGAATGCCAACAAGCTACAAGCGGAAGGACCTGCAAGAGACACTTGGGTTCTTATCGCCGACCACACTCGAAAGCTGATACCTGCACACAGCACTTCCTGATGAAACTTAGGCAGCCCACCAGACGCAGAGATTCGGGATCATGATTCTCCTCGCTCTTCTTGATCCTGTGCCGTCTATCGGGCAACATTAAGGACCACCCATGAACACCCTGACTTGTTCCGTTTGACAGCTTTGCATCATGTTTCTCTGGCCAAAAATTCCGGCAAGAAAGTTGGGCAGCTCTCACTGGCGCTTTGGCACTGTACCGGGGAGCTAGTCTGATACCTCTGGGAGTAAGCAGATGCTGGCAACACTGCCTCGGAGGCCGCGATAGGTCGCCTGACCTCAGCATTTGTCTGAAACCATTCTTCTTGTCAGGGTTTCTGATGCTTGATCTGCAAGGATAAAATCGTGACGGCACAACTATGGCAAGTAAGGGATTCGGCAACACATACTCATTGCAGTTGGGGGGAGAAGTTCCACATTTACCTCTCAGGTGTCTCCCGGTGCTGCACCTCATTGTCAAGTAGAAGCGGTCGGCTTCCTCGTTGAACTCGAGGATCCGAGCATAGATCTGTCAGGGTGTGCCGTTCCAGGCTATGTTACGGCACACGGCCATGTCGGACAGAAGGGAGGTAGTGAGATCTGCAGAGTCTGCGAAACCTCCAGCCATTCCAGAAGGGTTCTACATCGGACTAGCCTGTGGCCGCGCAAGTCAGACGTGCGCAAGCATGAGAGAATGAGAGAGATGTCGTGCAAGACACACCCCGTCCGGATTAGCCAATCGCCAAATACTTCACAGGCACATCAATATCTGGAGGGCCGGGACGCAGAAAGACGGGAACGGAACGCATGCTTGGGGACAGATGAGCTTAAGGACGGCACATTTCAGCTTGCAACTGCCATCAGAACGCAGCGAAACCGTCGGACTCGAAGCCGTCTCTCCCTGCTGGGTGCACAACTGCCTGCTTCCCCTTTCGCACTGGGTCCCGCTTCGTGGGAAAGCCGTCCTTCAGAAAGTCCCAGGCTTTGTGCATTGACTGAAATTCATGCGCGATACGAAACCTCTTTCCCCTACAAGCTTCGAGGCTTCACAAGCCCTGGTCACGGAGCCTCCATCTCGCCATATTCCAGGACCTCGCGACAAGCCGGTATGAGCCAAGTAAGAAGAGCCGACCGTCTCCCGTCCTTGGGGGTGTCTGATGCAATGCGCACATACGCAAAATCACACACGCGCATCTCACACAAACACGGCCACAGACACAGACATGGAAAAACACACAACGCCCACACACACACACACACACACACGCGCGCGCGCACACGCACACGCACA